CCCTCCCCACCCCAACAGCACCCTTGGGCAGAGATCGTACTTGAAGGACATGTTTAAGTCGAATCACCATTGATGTGATAACTGTTTAAATATCTTTGGGCTTTGAGCTGCTGATAAAAAAAATCCTCTCACCACAAAAATCAACTAACAGTGACGTAGAGGCTGTGATGAAGCTGTGACTTCAACTCTCTTCAGACCGCAAAGGAGGGAGAAGTGGAGGGTTATGATTGTGTTTGTTTGAATTTCACATTATGGTTATTAAAATTGTATTTGTATGAAACAGATCTATCTTGCCTAGCTATTGCTGATAAAAGTTTTTGTGGCTGTTTTGGGTCATTAATAAAGGAAAGCAAGCAGCTACAATATGAGCATTATCCAACAATAGCTGTTAAGATATTGTAAAAATGGTTTACTGCCTCAGTGGTTTAGTTTAAATTATTTAAGCTCATGAACATACCCAAAATACATTGATGTTATTAAATGAGGTGTTGTGTAGTGTAACTTAAGATCTTAGATTTGTTCCAAGTAATAGAAACTATTCTGACATCTGTAGTAATTATGTGAGAATTTTTCAAGTGGTATTTTTTGCATTTTAATCACCAGAGAAAGGATGCCATTCACTCCCATTACATTTGAGAGAAGCCCGACATTTCTACGACCGACATCAAAACAAGGCATCTCCCAGCAGAACGACCTAGATGGATAGATAGCACTAAACCTCCTCTAAAAGATATACTTTTTTGGTTTTAGGGTGAACTGCCCCTTTAAATGTTTGTTAATTTTATACATTGGTTGATTTATATAGGTATGGTAATTATCCTGAGCTCTAGAATTTTCTATAATTCTAGAGCTCTATAATGTTAGAACAATTATGGCCTGTAGGAGCCACGTGTCTCCTAGGGGTTTATGTAGTAATATTTAGTTATGTTTTTATCTTGTTATTAATGTCTTAATGCTTTCATTTCTGTTTAATGATGTATCTAAGAGGTGCCTGTCAATTAAAACATTCTTGGACCCTTCAATGTAGCATATGCACTGCCCTCTACAGGACTCTCTCGAAACAGCATCCTCCATTTAAGGTGGCACGGATCCTGAAAATAAGAAGCTGGCAAATAAGTTGTCAACTTCAGGCTCATCTGACTGGGTGTTGCTACTGGGAGGTTGAGTGGTATAGGGATGAGGTTGGTATAGGTGTCACATATGAAGGGATCAGCAGGAAAAGAGAGAGTGATGACAGGAGGCTTGGATACAATGACAAGTCCTGGTGTTTGTACTGCTCTCCCACCAGGATAGGGGTGTACCTGGAACTTCTGCAGAAATGTCTGACACAATGACATTTATTTACAATGTGTTATGAATGTGTTCCTATATACAAGGCACTCACAGAAAGTGTTCTGAAAATTTTACATCAAGTAGTTTTACATCGATTTCAATTTTTTATTCCTACCTTTTCAGTGCACACCACAAATAACCCGTCTTCAGATGTACCACCCGGGGGCGGTCCGAGTATCACTGGTGATATGTGAACCACAGTTTGAGAACCACTGGTATAAATCATTAGAAAAACAATGGCTGGATAAATTTTATAACACATTCATCACAATATGTTAAGATGTTTTTAAATGTAACATATGTGTCTTTATTAAAACATGTCATTTTCTGAGTTTATTGCTCTGTATTGTATATAGCCTTTGGTTATAGCCTTTAAGTAGGTCATCTGTTGAAAAACTGTCATGTTTTTGGACAAAGACAGAATGGCAGAACCTTTTAATCTGTTTTCAATTTAGGGGATCGTTTTCTCACTTTCTTCTTCTGTAAAACTATGTGCAAATAGCCACCATAAAAAAGCACAAACTGACACATAAACAGCTGGAAGTTTGTGCTGATGCTTCAGGTAAGTTGGTTTCAAGTGTAGGAAGGAAATCCTGTACAAACCAGACTGAAACATGGTGTAGCAATGCTGTCATACAATGGAACAAGTGTGCACCAGTCTAAGAATTATACAGAATTACACATACTGTGTAGAATAAAAAGTACCAATCCATGAAGAAGGTGCAACTCCATCAGTGTCAGTACAATAAGGGACTCCATTCATCCATCCATCCATCCATCCATTGCCTTCCGCTTGTCTGGAGTTCAGGTCGTGGGGGTAGCAGCTTCAGGAGAGATACCCAGACCTCCCTCTCCCCAGCTACCTCTACCAGCTCTTCGGGGAGGACGCCGAGGCGTTCCCAGGCCACCCGAGAGATATAATCCCTCCAGCGAGTCCAGGGTCTGCCCAGGGGCCTCCTCCCTGTAGGACATGCACGGAAAACCTCTCCGGGTAGCCGCCCAGGAGGCATCCGCACCAGATGTCCAAACCACCTCAACTGGCTCCTTTCAACGTGAAGAAGCAGCGGTTCTACTATGATACTCTCCCGGATATCCGAACTTCTCACCTTATCTCTAAGGGAGAGCCCAGACACCCTGCGGAGAAACCTCATTTCAATTGCCTGTATTTGCGATCTCATTCTTTGGGTCATTACCCATAGCTCATGACCATAGGTGAGGGTAGGGACNACACTCACACACACAATCACACACTAAGGACAGGGGACACGATGGATAGGATACTAGTTTATAGCAGAGCACACACTCACACACACAATCATACGCTAAGGACAGGGGGCACGATGGATAGGATACTAGTTTATAGCAGAGCACACACTCACACACACAATCACACACTAAGGACAGCTTAGAGATCCCAATCGGCTGGCCACATGTTTTCAGTCTCTGAAGTAGGAGAAAACTCATGTTGGGGGAACATGCAAACTTCACATACGGAGTGGTGGAGTGGTGGGGTGGTGGGGGGGGGGGGGGGGCAGAGCCAGAGGTTACACCCTGAAGCCCCACACCTCCCCACAATCACACATACTGTTAGGATTTATTTAAAGTCACAATGTAATGCTGCAGAATTTTGAACTAGTATAAGCTTCATTTTCAGGAACTGTGTTGTAATTTTAGCAGACTTTTAGAATATTAACTAACCGGATTTACCTGTTTCCCCATCCTTTACCTAAGCAGGTGTGATCTCTGTGCCTTCAGACATAGTTGACACACTCACTTGCATATATTTACATTTACATTTCTGGAGGTAATTTGACTTTTCCACCCTTTCTCCCATACTTCCTCAGAAATTTGTGTTCCCAATTCCTTTTCCCAACTCTTTTTAATATGTTTTGTTAATGTTTTTCAATAATAAATTACCTTGATATTACCTCTATATAATCTGGATAAGATAGAACTACCCAGCTAAATTTCTTGAAGAAAATAACGGTGAAATTGCAGATGCCTATAGAAATCTGATTTGCCCACCTGTCCAAGTCATAGTAAAAGTTTTTAGTGAGTGGTGTATAACTCACCTCATATAGTTTGGAAATATTACAGTACAGCTACACCCCAAGATACTTAAGAACATAAGAAATTTACAAAGGAGAGGAGGCCATTCGGCCCATCAAGCTCGTTTGGGGAGAACTTAACTAATAGCTCAGAGTTGTTAAAATCTTATCAAGCTCTGATTTAAAGGAACCCAGGGTTTTAGCTTCCACTACACTAGCAGGAAGACTATTCCATACTCTAACTACACGCTGTATAATATATTTCAAATGGCAGTTAAGGGGGTTTCTACATTTAAGTATTTCTGAAGGGGTAAAATTGAACAAAATCTGAGTTTTAACGAGATTCAACAAATGACCTGTCAATTGGCCATATATATCCAAAAGCTGCATTAGGGCTGGAAGGCAGAGCTCTGGATTGCTAAGATACACCATCACATCACCAGCACACACAGAAACCTTGTGTTCTCTTTCCCTTATTGTTACACCCTCTACAGAGAGACCTTGTCTTACAGCTTCGGACAGCAGTTCTATATACAAGTTAAAAAGGGTCGGTGAGAGCGGACACCCCTGCCTCGTCCCTCTCTCCAGGGTGATAATGTGTCATATGTGTCCGGTAATTTTAATTCTGGCAGTTGGGGCTGAATATATTGTTTTAATGCACTGAATAAATTCCAAACTAAACCAGAACTTTCTCATGACCTGAATGGGGGGCGTGACAGCAAGCGTTATCCTAAACAATTTTCTGATTATTTTCCATTTTTACATCTGGATGTTTTTATTGGAGCAATTCCGGTCAAGTATGTGATCAAGGGTACAACAGCAGCCTCCTTCATGAAGCTAAAAGTGCCAAAACTTAGGCCCTGACCTCTGAACTTCAGTTTGTGTTTTTTTCCTCTTTTGATTGGTTGTATCAGGCTTGGAATTTAGAACAATATTAAAATCTCCACCAAGTATGAGCGTACCATATGATTCCACAGCAATTAGGTCAAATGCTCTCTTTAAGAGTATTTATTGCTAAAGAACATGCAGCTGACACAATTCCACTTGGGCTATGTTTTTCCCTTCGAGTGAACCTGGTCTGGACCAGGTTCATCATGGAGAGTAAATTACCATGGCAGTATATTTCAGAACGTGGTGAGCCACGATCCGTGGTACCGAAAACTCCAGCCAAGAAACCTAGCTCAGCCACTGAACTTGCTTCATAGCAAGTCCCCAGTGTAATACTGCCCACCAATTTGTTAATTATATACTTACAGTATGACATGTTTTGTAGGCAGAGACAGTGACATTGCTAAAGATTTTGGGCCCCACAAAAGCAAGTCATATTTGGCCCCCCAGTCCACACCAATCCAGTTATTTTTTTTAGGGCCCCTGGAATCATCCTAACTACATTTCTACGACCGACATCAAAACAAGGCGATTGGGAGGAACGCTTTCATTTCTGTTTGATTGACAGGGGTGCCTGTCAATTAAAACACTCTTGGACCCTTCAATGTAGCATATGCACTGCCCTCTGCAGGACTCTCTCGAAACAGCATCCTCCATTTAAGGTGGCACGGATCCTGAAAATAAGAAGCTGGCGAATAAGTAGTCAACTTCAGGCTCATCTGACTGGGTGTTGCTACTGGGAGGTTGAGTGGTATAGGGATGAGGTTGGTATAGATGTCACATATGAAGGGATCAGCAGGAAAAGAGAGAGTGATGACAGGAGGCTTGGATACAAGTCCTGGTGTTTGTACTGCTCTCCCACCAGGATAGGGGTGTACCTGGAACTTCTGCAGAAATGTCTGACACAATGACATTTATTTACAATGTGTTATGAATGTGTTCCTATATACAAGGCACTCACAGAAAGTGTTCTGAAAATTTTACATCAAGTAGTTTTACATCGATTTCAATTTTTTATTCCTACCTTTTCAGTGCACACCACAAATAACCCGTTTTCAGATGTACCACCCGGGGGCGGTCCGAGTATCACTGGTGATATGTGAACCACAGTTTGAGAACCACTGGTATAAATCATTAGAAAAACAATGGCTGGATAAATTTTATAACACATTCATCACAATATGTTAAGATGTTTTTAAATGTAACATATGTGTCTTTATTAAAACATGTCATTTTCTGAGTTTATTGCTCTGTATTGTATATAGCCTTTGGTTATAGCCTTTAAGTAGGTCATCTGTTGAAAAACTGTCATGTTTTTGGACAAAGACAGAATGGCAGAACCTTTTAATCTGTTTTCAATTTAGGGGATCGTTTTCTCACTTTCTTCTTCTGTAAAACTATGTGCAAATAGCCACCATAAAAAAGCACAAACTGACACATAAACAGCTGGAAGTTTGTGCTGATGCTTCAGGTAAGTTGGTTTCAAGTGTAGGAAGGAAATCCTGTACAAACCAGACTGAAACATGGTGTAGCAATGCTGTCATACAATGGAACAAGTGTGCACCAGTCTAAGAATTATACAGAATTACACATACTGTGTAGAATAAAAAGTACCAATCCATGAAGAAGGTGCAACTCCATCAGTGTCAGTACAATAAGGGACTCCATTCATCCATCCATCCATCCATCCATTGCCTTCCGCTTGTCTGGAGTTCAGGTCGTGGGGGTAGCAGCTTCAGGAGAGATACCCA